GTAACCATGTCCTGAAATGCCCTACGCTTTAGATTCTATTCTTAAAATGTTCATCTCCACGTGTGCAATTGAATCGACTTGTAACAAACATACAGTCTTGCGTATACGGCAGCTGGTATGACAAACAAGTCTTAAAGGCATCCAGTGCAGTTTGTAGGGCTTGGAAATCCGTTTTTTCAGAGCTAATATTCTAGTCATTTATCTACATACTGAGTTGAAGCCACACTATCCCAACGTATATTGACCCTCATGGAGCAAAAATTCCCCAAATTCTGACGGAAAATGGCAACTGGAAGGGCCCTGGATTGAATTTTAAGGTACCACCCAGAAAACGATGGACTCATCTTGGGGCTTGTTTCTGCAGTTTTATATACCCAAAGTATGGAATGCTGACTTAAATGTGCCAATGTGAAGCAGTATGTGTCAATATCACAAAGATTGCCTTATTCAGAATATTTCCAGTTTTGCTGTCCTGAAATAGCATTGCATGCCTTTAATTGTTTTTTCTCCAAACACTGCCAGCTGGTTGTAACGTTACCATAAAAACACCTTCAAACTTCCACAGAGCTCCAATGCTATCTATTGTGCTGGTGTTTCCGTCATCTTAATTAGTACGTATAGCCTTGGGCCTGACAACACAAGCTGTTCAGCATCACTGGTTATTCAATGGGACTACCGAAAATGGCCATGTCGGTGAATCAGCTAACGCGATGCGGCTTGATTTCTTGTGCCTCGCGGCATGAAGAATTTTCGTGACTAGAATCATATTTTACGGGTAAACTATGACAAAACCAATGGAAAAATCGGACGTGTCTTTTCGGAATACAAAGAATGAAGACCTTTACTGTACATTTTTACCCCACTGGGCTAAGCACAGGTCATATATTAACAATCACATATAACGTATGTAGATACACATGTATAAAGTAAAACGTCTAGTACACAGAAGTATTTTCGCTTCTTTTTAATTGTATGAATATAGGTGGCTGTATAATTAGTTAGAGTTGGTTTGTCGAAGGCTGTAGGAGGAATATAAATTTCTCTATATACAATTCAAATACCTAAGATGGGAAAATTTGCTAAACACGATATATTGGAATGCTTCTTTCGCTATCATACAAAGCGAAACCTAGTCTCTACCAGGATTCAGAAGAGGCTGGAAAGAGTAGACATTGGCCAAATAAAGGGATACTAGTAACATGCCGGTGGAGTTGGTCCGCTAGGGTGGCAAACTGACTCTCAGGCGGACCAACTCCCCTGGCATGTTTTCTCTGTTGGCCAATGTCTACTCTTTCCAGCCGCGTCCCGAAGCCTGATAGAGGTACTGTAGACATCGATTTCAATCCAATAACCAATGGGGATCAGTATAAGGGAGTTATCCAGTTTTCCTGGCCAATCAAATGTGTCGTTCTTATTGCTAGTCCTGCTTGTAGCTGCGGGTGTCAATACGAAACAGTTACTCATTACCTATTACACTGCCCTTTACATAACTTCCACCGTTCAGAACTCCTCAGCAAACTTTCTGAGATTTTAGGACACTCTGTTAACTTACACACTCTTTCAGATAAAACGAAACAACTTTTAATTTTGAACGGTTCCCCGGTTTATTCTTTTCGAGTTAACTGTAACATTATGTCAACCGCCCAAAATTACATTTTAGCAACAAAACGTTTTTAATTCTATTTGTGTCCTTTTCATCTTTTGGGTGGGGAATGTGGACTCTCGCTTCATCAATTTGACTGTTTGTTCCTTTCTTTTACATGTATTCTTGGTTAGTGTTTTGCATTGTTTAGTAATATTAGTTTTATTCGTATAAGTGGCGGCGCTAACATAAGTTACCTAACTTGAGCCCGTCGTCACTTTGTCCTGTACCCTTATTTTGTTTATTGTATGCTGAATAAAAAAAAATGTCTTACCTTCACATCTTGCGGTCTGCATGTTCCAGGTGTAGCCCTCCCAACACCGACAGGCGTCCCGGTACTGGCTGCCGTACTCGCTAGTAGAGAACGGCGGGCAGCGTTCACAGGAGGTGGCGGTACCGTGGCGGCCGTACGTGTCACGGGGACACACTGGGGGATGTCAGGTGTACCAAATCAGCAAACATCCACACCAACAACACAATATATACAACTCTGTGTAACAACCAGTTAGGTAGCACGTCGGCAGAACGTACTGCGCCTGCGCAGAACCCCGTATTTTCGCGTTTTTCGTTGGGTTTTTGGTCAACGTTGCATCAGAATTTTGCCTGTTGCAGAGGATATTCTTTCCGACATAACATTTGGGAAAGTACTGTCGAAATGCTAACCTTATATGAGCGAATACAACCTTATATGAGACATTCTGCCGAAGTCCTATGTACAATACATTACAGGTTTCGCGCAGGTGCAGTTCGTTCTGCCGACGTGCTCAGTTAGGTCATGTTGACTTGATTGTGCTTATATAGATGGCATCCTCTGGAAACCCCAAAACTGATGCGAGCGTCCGAATATAAATAAACAGTTTGATTATATGGATGACATCCTCTGGAAACCCCAAAACTGATGCGAGCGTGCGAATATAAATAAACAGTTTGGCAACACAGGTTCATTATGAAATCTACGTGGCCATGAAGGTTGAACAAATGACTAATGAGTATGGTATGAAGAATAATAGACACTTCATTTTCATTTCTTCACATTTTCTTCTTTTCCTTTGACATCGTGTCAAAGTTGGCATTCAACGACATTAGTATCGTTTCTCTATATTTTCTGTAGCTGCTTTGTACGATTTACAGTATGGTCGAAAACTGTTTTTGGACGAAAATTCATCCGCGCGCGGACCGGATGACATGTATACAATCAAATCAACATGGACTTATTGGACCACTTGGCCACAAAACAGATTAACACATGGTGTTTTGGAAAAGAAAATAACAATAAGTAAACTACCTTCACATTTCCTTGTGCTCAATACACAGGTCGAGGCTGTGAGCATCTCACGCATGCGCTGTTGTAAATACAGGCAGTCGGCGGACATGTTAAGGCCAGGCGTTTGCTGGCACACTTCGGGAGTATTGTCTGTGTAAAAAGAAAACAATGGCTACTTACTAAATTGCTACCTACATCATGTTAAGTTGTGTAGTATTTTCAAAACGGCCATGAATGTTGTATGCTATAAAATTCGTTTGTAAAAGTATAATAAATGGCAATTCTATATTGTGAGGCAAAAAGTCAACGTCGCTTACGAAACACCGTTGCTTGTTTTGTATCTTAGGCCGGTTCTAGCTATTTATAGGCGGTACCAAAAATTGAGATGCCTCGCGCAGCTTGTTTTGCAATTTCAAACGGTTTATGTACAATGTATGAAATGATTACAAATATGTGCTAAGAAATGGCACTAAATGTTAATAGCAGACAGGTTTACTCATCCAGAAAATTTTGAGTTTTGCCGCCCTGAATTCGAAATTGCATTGGATGCCTTTTAACAACGCTGTATTATATTCACCTTTCTTTCTTTCTTTCTTTCTTTCTTTCTTTTTCTTTTCTTTCTTTCTTTCTTTTCTTTTCTTTCTTTCTTTC